TTTTTTTTTTTTTGCCAAGTGTCATTTGGGTATTTATAACATTGTTCGGGGGCCATAAAAATTGTCACCTTAAAAACCAGCCTGCTATATTTGTTCAAACAATTGCATCACCCCTAATGTGATGACTGGAGCCCTGGTGTGGTGCTGTAGGATAAGCACTCAACCATAAGGTCGGTTTGAACCATAAGGTTGATAATTGAAGCTCACTAGCCGCTCCTTGCAACCCCTATATAGGGTCACTATGAGTTGGAACCAACTCCGTGGCACCTAACATCAACAGTGTGATGGCTGGAATTGTGGTTACCTTGGCAGGGCCAGACTAAACATTCTTGTGGGCCCATGGACCAGGTGTTCCCTGCCCCTCCTACATAGGATTTCCAAGGAGTAGCTGGTGAATTTGAACCGCTGGCCTTGCAGTTCACATTGACCTTGAAGTATAGTGCTTATCCAACAGCACCATACTGCAACTCAACTGATATGATTACTGGACTTGAATTGTTTGGGAACAAATCCCAGGTTTCACACTTACTAGCAGTGTATGCCTTGGTTTCCTAATTTGTAAAACAGAATTAATAGTCATACCTACGGCACGTAACCACCACTACCACAGTCTCATAAGATTGTGATGAGAATTAAATGAGTAAAACTCTACAAACATATATACATATCAAACACTATATAAGTTTTCATTTTTTTTAATTTAAGTAATTAAAATAAGTTCAGAACATTTTCATTTTTTGACTCTGAGCTTTTAGTTATTGACCCACTTTTAACGTCAAATAATAGGAACTGTCAGATGCAGACTATATCCCGTGTAATTCTGGAAACACTAAAGGAGCCTTCAGTGATGCTTCGAGCTGGCATTTTATAGTTTTTGTACCAACCTTTTGAAGTAAGGTTCTTGAGCTCTGGACAGCTAAGGTTGGAATTCAGTCTATAGCATAGTTGCATGCGCTAGTTCAAAGGTCAGACTTGGTCTACTAACGAATGGCCAATAATCCTCAGTACAGGTAGACACCCTAACTCATATTTGGGGAAGATTGAAAGTTTTGTTATAAACAGTTACAATTTTTGTTTGTCTAATTTTTTTGGCAAGGAGGTGAAGGGAAAAGATAGGAAAACCTCATGCTTTTCTCCCATAATATTCATTTAATTCTTGTTTTAAAAAATATTTTGAGTTTATCATAAAACTTTGAAAAACATCTGTCACCTTTATTTTCTAAGTGTTTTTCTTCCACACAGGAACTTTGCATTGATGGCGACTAATTTGTGTGTTTTTCTTTTTTTTTCTTTTTTTCTTTTTGCATGCTGTCCCCTGTGTTGGAACTCTCAATAGAGAGTAAGTTGGTTCAATATTTGTTGGAAACCTAACTTTACTGCATGACTGTGAAATTAACCCTTTTTCTCTGTTTTCTCTCCTGAAGAGTTCATGCAGTGTTGGACCCTTGGCAATCCACGAAACGCTATTCGCAGTTATGCAAACTGTCATTCTGTTTGGAGATGTGCTTTTTTAATCTACTAATTAATCTAATTTGATTATGTTCTTCTGTTCTATATTTGATGACTGGCACACCTAAGAAATAAGAAAGCTTAAGAAAAAGCTGCCTCAATTGTAAAAGCTCAAAATATTGTAATTCTCTTCCACTAAAGTATAGGTGGGAGATATATGGAATTATAAATTGATTTCACTGGAAGATACTTACGTAAAAAACATTTTCTAGATTTTGCAGTTGTTTAAAATAGTAATAGTAATATAACCATGACTTTTGCATATGAGAGCCAAGTATAAAGACCACGGTAGAATGGAGACAAATAGCATGTCATCTAGAACTGTTTTTTATAAAATAATTAAAATTGACATGTGTGAACCTTTACCCTGAATTTATTTCATTTTAGATATTGTTATCCCAACTTGTTTAAGATTACTTTGGGGGCAGTTTTAGCAAATAATGTATCTCATACCAAAAATTCTGTGGTAACACCACATTATGTCATACAAATTTTATATGTCATATAATTTTATAGCCATCCCCTGATTTTCTCAGTTACACTCTTCCCCCAAAACTGAGGCCTAATGAAACTATAGATGATTCCTGTATCTAAATTTTCAGGGAAAATGGGAGTCATGTTTAACTAGTTTAAGCTGTGACATCATTGACAACATTAGGTGTGCCAGCCATTATGGCCAGTTTCTTTACCAAGTGATGCTGCATGGAATAGCTAATTGTTGAACTTCTGCAGAAGTTGGATTACAGTTCATTGTACTCTTGTATCACAGAGTCCAAAGAAAAGCAGAGATTATTTTCCCGCTTGGCTGCCAATCACTGTGCCTCAGATTCTTATATTCCTTTCTATGTCACTTTTGAATTGAACATAAAGGTCAATATTTCCTCCTTTTTCTCTTCCCCTCCCCTTTTGCCATGTCCTCTCCCTTTTTATTAACTGTAGGTGTTCAGCTTGTTTTTGGAGACTCTGGTGGACTTCATCCAAGTCCACAAAGATGATCTTCAGGATTGGTTGTTTGTATTGCTGACACAGCTACTGAAAAAAATGGGTGCTGATTTGCTTGGATCTGTTCAGGCAAAAGTTCAGAAAGCCCTTGATGTTACAAGGTAATGTTTTCCTTCATCTGTTTTAAGTTTACCTGATAGTAACCAGGAATAATTAGTTCCTACTCTGGTAGCGTAGTGGTTACGAATCAGGCTGCGAACTATAAGGTCGGCAGTTCAACTCCACGGCACATAACCACCACCACTACCATGTTAAATAGGCACTGTAGGATAAGCACTGGACTGCTAACTACAAGGTAGGCAGTTCAAATCCATCAGCAGCTCATTGGGAGAAAGACAAGGTTGTGTGCTCTGGTAGGGCTTTATAGTCTTAGAAAGCCTGTATAGAGTCAGAATAAACTCATTGGCAGTAGGTTTGGGTGTATTCCTAGTTTGGTTAATAGTAGAGATTTCTTAGTTGCTTAAAACAGTTTGAACTGCATGAATTCTATTTAAAATGTCCATTCACATGATACATTTAATGCAACATTGGTCTATTGATAAAACACTGAATTTCTGTCTAAAAGTTTTAATGTTTGAGTAATTCAAGTTTGTATTTTATTTTCATTAAAATATTTTGCAAACTAGATTTGAAGATTTTATTCAGTCATATGTAAAAGAAAACATTTACTACATGTAAAAAGGTTTTGTTCATATAAATATTCAACTATTTTTCAAAAGAGTTTTGAACCAGTAGTATGTTTTTACTTTCTTCTCTATATTGCTGATGTGACTTATTTAATCTGTCCACTTAATTCATTGAAATGAGTCTAAAATGCAAATTTTAGGAGTTGGCAACATCTGTGAAAAATTTGAACTTATTGAATTTATTTTTCTATAGTTGAGGCAAGATAGACTTATTTACTTTAACATTTCTTTTTAATACAATTTTGTTAAGTGCTGTTGAGTTAATTCCGACTCAGAGACTCTGGATAGGGTTTCCAAGGAGCAATTGGTGGGTTTGAATTGCCAACCTTGTGCTTAGCAGGTCAGTGCTTGTCCTATAGTGCTACACCAAGACTCTATGCTGGGTATAAACTCAACTGTTTATATACTTCTGGGGATAGCTTTTCTTGTGTATTAGATCAAATAGACTAAATTGAGCATATGCTTTTTCCATGGCATTATGTTTCAGCATTAAGTGTAGGCTTCTGCTGCTGAGTTTGCTAAAGTCTTGCTTGCTGGCTAATCTTCTGTTTTGATTCCTTCTTTTAGAGAGTCTTTTCCTAATGATCTTCAGTTCAATATTCTGATGAGATTTACAGTGGATCAGACCCAAACGCCAAGTTTAAAGGTAATAATTTGAAGTCTTTTGAAAATTTTATAAGGACTTGAAGCATTTTATTAACATGGTTATTTATGTTGATGTGTGTATTTCTGCCACATGAAAAGCTGTTCAATCAGTAGATTTTGTTTTTATAAATTTTCAGACAGTCAAGCCAGCACTTCGGGACCAGCTTCACTCTTTTTGGAGCTCCAAGGTTTTTTTTTTGTTTTGTTTTATTTTAATCTGCATTATTTCTTTTCTTAACTCTCTTTACAAGCTCTGCAGTTCAAATAATGTTTGTATGCATCTGTTTTCAACTACTAACATTTGTAAGCCTTTCAAGCATGCAGATATTTGATTCCAAATGTTACTCAAATGCCAGACTATCCTTTGGAGACACTTACTAGGGGTACATATTTAGAAGGCATCACAAGTATGGCCGTCTAACCCTAAGCTGGCAATGCAAATTCGCTGTATGAAGTCTTGTCTAATTTCATGTTTGTGATTTTCCAGTGCTTTTTTTAAGGCTTATAGTTAGTTTGGGACAAATGCCAGTTTTGCCTATGTATTTATTAAGGAAAGAATTTTAAATTTAATTTTGGTTCTATTCTCTAATTTTCCTTAATTGAAATAAGCTTTTTTTTTTTGTAGTGGGATATTTCTGATGTGTGCATGAAGTTTTGAATGAGGGTACATTTTCTCAATTACTTTTTTTCATACATTTTCCAGTTAGTTTTTGATTTAAAAGAAAAGAAAAATTAAAGTAAAAGACAAGCCCCTGAATTCTTTACTAAAGAATTCATGTGAGTCATATAGAAGATATTTATTAGTGAGTTTTAAAGGACAGCAAAGCCAGGGGAATAACAAGCATACATGTATATGAAAACCTTTTATTTTTCTGCTCTATTCTGCACGAAATAAGAATCACCATCCTGGACTGATTTTCCTTTAGGTTTCTGAATATGACTGTGTTTCAAAATCAGTTATGTTTCCTACCAGGGTTCAGTTACATTCAACATGCTATTGACGCAAAGCTGCTTTGTGAAAGATTTTACTTGATATTATTGATAAACCTTTATTGAGCTTTATCATTTATACTCTTTATCATTTATATATGTGATAAAATATTTATAATTA